CCCAGTCCCATCACCCATCTCTTCAGTGTTTGATGATCTGAATTGATGGTATTTTGCCTCCAACAGGATGTTTTTACCTGATGTGGCAATGCTTCTGTTATCTCTCATAACATAAGAAACTTGGCATGGATACCATGGCATTAAAGAATCCAAATGACATTTATTCCAGCTCAATATTATTCACAAATTTTACATTCACAGGCACATAAATATCTGGATTAACATTAAGCAATTATGTTTTGGAGAGCAGCATGCTTTCAATAGTGTGTCATGCTTCAAGTGATCCTGGGGTTAGATGGAGCAAGAGACTGTTATACCCTCAGGTTACATGTTATGATACAATGATATCATGAGCATGTTTCCTGGACTGCGAGACAACATCGCCATTTATCTAAAGATAAAAACTTATCCCAAACATGGTTGTATACGTACACATGGGATCTTAACCTCAAGAAATTGGGTGTGGATAAATTTCCAGCTATAGTTCACTCTTTAGAGCCTACCTTTCTGATCAGACATGTTATTGTCTGGCCTAATATGCCCATACAAGGCTTAGTGCCATAGTTTCTTCCATAAAATGCCCTAAGGTTACTTTACAGATGCATTATGATGTTACGTCGAAGATTCTCAACTTCCCTCCTCACCTGATGCATTATGAGGTTTAGATTAAACAACCACCAGTAGTCTGTCTGTAATAAGAGAGCAGTTCTATGGTCCTCTGGGACTATGGAGATTTTTAAGAAAAGGCATTTGTAGAAATGAAAGTCATTGTTGTGATGGCACACCTTAGCAACCACCTAGGCAGTTGGTACCTCTAGTGTACAGGGGTCACACAGGGAGCTGAATGTATTGTACAAATCTATAATGGAGCTTGTTAATAATGGGAACTGTTTGTTTTCTACTCATTCTCGGGATGACAGCATCACTGACTAGGCCAGCATTTATTGCCTAATTGTACAAAGAGCAGTTAAGAGTCAACCACATTGGGCCTGGAGTCACATGTAGGCCAGATCAGGTAAGGGTGGCAGTTTCCTACCCTAAAGGACATTAGTGAACCAGATGCTGACAAATAGAAATGGTTTCATGGTCATCACTGGACTCATATTTTGAAAATCTTATTTGAGAATCTGATTCAAACCCAGGTCCCCAAAACCAGGATCCCAGAACATTACATGGGTCTCTGGCTTAACAGTCCAGTGATAATACCATTAGGCTGTCACTTCCCCATTATACATACAGAGAAGGGTACTTCCATCATTAAAATGCGTCTGTCAAACATTTCTACATTTGTTTAAAACATTTGACAAAGTTTACCTAATATGATTTATTCACATCATCATGTCACTCATATCTGATAAAACCATTGTGGAAATGATACAGAAAAGGAGGTTTGCTAGCCACTTGTTAATGAAGGTAGGAATGTTTTAGCCTCCAGAGTGTTAGAAACACTTGAGACTCCCATAGGTTTCCACTGAATCTTAATTTACCCACAAAGAAAAATGATCTTGATTGAGATTATGGAAACAAAGAATTAAAAGTCTTTGAGTCTTTCATTCAATTACTGTTTGAATATACTTCAATAGGCAACAGCTTTCTACTTTGCATTTGAAATATAAACCATTTCAAAGATGGAAATTTATTAACTATATATTCCTTTCAAAAGATAGGCCTAAAAGAATGATGACCCAGACAGAAGACTGTGAATAATAAGTGTAATTTGTGTTTACAGTCCATCTAGATGGTTAGCCTCCCCCTTTCATTTTTAAATTCATGTTAACTTTTTTGAAAACTATTTTCTGTAGGATGTGCAAAGGGAAAAATCCTCCAGTACTAAATCAAGTGAAAAAGACCTATCCTCATCACAAGCAATCCCGGAAGCGGTTCTTGATAATATTGACATTAGCAATGCCTCCAGTGAAAATGAGGAATATTGCCATGGTAAAATAAACCTAGTTACTTTACAGAATCTAAGTTTCTGAAAGATTTAATCCATGTTTTTGTTGTCAATTTGTTTAAATATTGCGCCTTGATGTTATTTGAGGAATACTGTCTTTGAAAAGCTAGAAAAATTATGCATTGTTTCAGTCACACAAGGAGCTGAATGTTATTGGCTGCAAATCAGGCAGGACCCCCCCTGACTCCATGCCCCAGTGCCCCTTCAACTCACCCTGCACTTCTGTAATATTCAGTGTGATGATGAATCAGCAATCCAATGTGATCACATCAAATTTTTTCCAACATTACAGTCAGCGAGCGGGTGATGAAATTGGAAGCCAACATCAATTTTTTTTTAAAAGCAAATGACAGACAATTGAATCAGAGATAGTAGGAACTGCAGATGCTGGAGAATCCGAGACAACAAGGTGCAGGGCTGGATGAACACAGCAGGCCAAGCAGCATCATAGGAGCAGAAAGGCTGACGTTTCGAATCTTGTTAAAAGTCCAATCAAAATCCAATGTTGCTCTCTCCATTCTTTTGTTAGGCACACAGGAAAACCTCTGCACCAGTATAAGGAGACAGCACAAAGGCAGATTAAAAAAAACACCTGCATGTGGGACTATGGCTACGCAAGGCAGTGGAGTCTACTGGTGAAGCTGGCACCTTATGGATGCCGTTAGATTTTTGTTTTTAAGCTGCCTTAACAAATAAAGACAGAATGAGAGGGCTGGAAGGCCTTTAAATTATTGTTAGTCTGATTCAAAGCCTAACCCTCTCCTTCCAGATGGCCAAACATAAACGTCTGATTTGATGCAGAGCCCCTACTTTCTCAGGTCTGGTTGGCCTCCTTTCCACCCACTAGTTGGCTGTTGGATCTTTGACTTGTGTTGAGATGGTGGGTACAAGTGCAAACAGGCCATTCATTTCCTGTTCCACCTCCCTCACCTGCCAGAAGTTGTAAAATCCAGGCCATTACTGTCACCTTTTGCTGCAAAGCTGCAAAGCTTGTTTACAAGGAACCATGGTGTGAAAAACAGCATATAAACAGTCCGCACCAACATTCAACTCCTCTCAAGTCTCTTCATACCCTTACATATTCAGTGCGGTCAGCATCTCCTTTTATTCCTTTTCTTGCTACATGTTTATCTAGCTTCAGTTTCAATGTAGTAACGTTGTGATGAATTATGTATTTAAGTTGATAGAATTTTACCAGTACAGAAGGCCATTTGACCCATCATGTCTGTACTGGCAATGTTACAGATTTTTTTTTCACAAAAGCCAAGTTACTGTTCAGCTTTTGCAGTTTTATGTGTATAAAATAAAGATAGTGATGCCACACAACCCATGCAACAACCAGGATCTAATTTAATACATGACAAGTAGATAAAATAGTCATTGTTCTGGATGAACTATCTGACCTTATTTTCTTATTGTAAAGAAAATTGATTTTTTTCGAGTTAGAAAGGATGCCTATAGGAAGATTGTGAACACATTGGAGAGATTGCAGAGGAGATTTACAGGAATATCTCCAGGAATGAGAATGGGGCTGCTTTCCTGGAGAGAAGAAGAGGGGTTTAGATAGAGTAAATAGTGAGAAGTTGATCCTGTTTGTAAAAGGATCAAGAACCAAAGGGCACAGATTTGAAATGATTCTCACATGACATTTGCTTCTTTTGTGAAAAGGAAAAGCTTTTCCACACAACAAGTGGTTTGGGTGTGGAATGTGCAGCCTGGAAGTGTGATGCATCCAGGTCCAGTTGAGGCATTCAAGAGTACATTGGATGCTTGTTTAAATAGAAATCATTTGCAAAGGTAAAAGGCAGGGGTATGGCATTAATTCATGATGCTTACTTGGAAGCTGGTGCAGACACAATGGGCTGAATGGCCTCTTCTTGCATCATTATACTTCTGTGATTCTGTGATATGATCCCCAGCTGATGGCATTCCGGAACAAGTCAGATCCCAGAAGGAAATCTGGCTTGTCAGATCATATACTTTCTTTTTAGTTAATTGGTATACACAGTATCTAGGTATTACAAGTGTCTTATATTAGTTAGGCATTGCTTCCATTCTCTTGGAATCTATGTTTCTACTAATAAAGTCCAGAAAACTGTGGGTTTTATTAATTGCCCTTTCTACCTGTCCTGCCACCTTTGTTCCAGTACACACCCAGGTCCTACTCCTCCTACACTCCTTTTAGAATTGTACCCCTTATGTTATACTGTCTATCCATGTTCTTCTTATCAAAATGTATCACCTCATATTTCTCTGCACTGAACTTCATCTACCATATATCCGCCTACTCCACCAAATTGTCTCTGTTCTTTTAAAGGTCTAGACTTTTTCCTCACAGGTTACAATGCTTCCAAGTTTCATATCATCCTAAAACTGTGAAATTGTCCCCAGTACAAAGACCGAGGTCATTACAAATACAAGAAAAGCAATGCTTACACCTGGAGAGCTCCACTACAAATTTTCCTCCGGCCTGAAAAATAACCATTAACCATTACTCTCTGTTGTCTATCCCTTAACCAATTTTATATCCACGTTGCTATTGCCCCTGTTATACCATGAGCTATAATTTTTCTCAGAAGTCTGTCATGTGACACGATATTGAACACCCTCGAACATCAACAGCATTACCCCCATCAACCCTTGCTGTTATCCTTTCAACAAGCTTTCCAGTAAGTTAGTTAAATGCAATTTCCCCTTTAGAAAATCATGCTGGCTCTTCCTAAACAATTCAATATTCTTTCCCTGTGACAGTCAACTCGATACCGACATCATCCAGAATTCCTCCTATCCCATCTCATCACTCTTATTTGATCTATTTTATTCAAATGTCATCCATTTTTAGATTTCCAATCTTTTCTGGTCATGAGCTTTAAAACTTCACCTTGTCATGTTTCCTTCTTCGTTCACCTCAAATGATGTTGATCTACTGTCAATGACTGATGCCCAACACTAATTTCTACAATTGTATTGTACAAGGCTACAGGAAACAAGGTTCTGTGGAAAGGAAAATGAGACACAATTTCTTTAAATAGATTTTTCCCTTCAGTGTTCACTCACAAGTTACCTCAAAAACCATGGGGAGATCCTATTATGTACAACTATACCAAGATTCACCTTGTGAAAGATCCATACGCCCTCAAGCAATTGCTACAAAATGGTCTGACAGTGACTGTAATAGAAGAAAAGGTAGGGATTTTTTTGATTATCAGTTTATAATACTGTTATATTCACAAAATTGATACTGTTTAGAACATTGTTTTACAATATATTTTGATTTCTGCAAATATAATCAAGGGCAAAAAGGCATGGTAGCTAAATGTGCAAATAACACCATCTGAAAGCATGTTGCAAAGACGTAAGAAGTTTGCAGGATAGAGTTAGGTTGAGTGAGTGGAGACAAATCTAACAGTTGGAGTATAATGCAGGAAAATGAGAAGTTATTCAATTTGGCAGGAAGAATGAAAAGAATGAAAATTCTGTTTGGTCACAACATTGCCAGGGGGATGCAGCAGCATTGGTCCAATCAGAATCTACAAGCATAGTCTGAGAATTAAGATTAACAGTTAACGTCTCCACGCCAGCAATGACCCAACCAATCACCACCCTCATCTCATGCTGTACAAAATGTTCAAGTCTATTTCTTACATGCTGAAATATGTATGTTCTGATATGTGCAAGATGAAAAGCTTTAAAGCTTCAACTTCTAATCTCCTTTGGACAGTGTACATCTGTAAGTCATTAAAATCTTGTGTTTTTTAAATAAATTCTGCATTTCATTCTCTTTAAATATTGTGTACTTGGTTTGTATGCTCTAACACGTCAGACTGAACATTTGTTAAGTTATCATTTTATTTTGAGGATTAAAGTCTTGCATGTTTTAATAGATCCTGTCATGGCCTATCGAGACGGAAGATGACAAAATTCCAGAAGCTTCCTCGAAAGAGAAAGACCAAGGTCCTGCAAAGGTGGTAGTAATGAAGGCAGAAAACTATATTATGCACTGCAGAGAAAAATTAAAGGGTGCTGTTATACCTTAGATTAAGTGTCACATCTTACAGCAGGTCATCTACTCCTTCAGCCCTTCCCATTGACATATTTTGCCAATAGCTTTTCTCAATTAGAAATCCTCTAAATATTAGGTAAATATTGCTCTTTCATGCCATTGATACGGGACACAACATTTTAAGTTGTTTTGAATGTAGTCAAACATATTGGTTGTAGACTCACCAGTTTCAGATCAATAGTTTTTGTGCCAATCTAAAACAGACAGTCATTAAATAGCAATGTACAAATGTTTCTTGTCTTTTGGTGTTTGCAAATTTGATTTATCTACAATGTACTTTTTTTTCTGAGGAGGAATTAGGGAGGCAAAAGCAGCGCTAAGGATGCAAAAGACAAAGACAAAACTAAGGAAAAATGGAAGTCACCAGTTTCACTTCAAAGTGATCCACCCATTCAGAAAATACTAGGAAGTTACCATGTAGATCTGTACTCCATTGTAACAGGAAGTCATGATTACCAGACAGTTTGTGATTTAGGAGTTCCCAAGATTGAGGAAAAACCCAAATCACCAACACCAGAGTTAAAGGTAATATACAAATATGGACAATTTAAATAACAGGTAGACAGGGTAGTGAAGAGGGCGTTTGGTATGCTCGCATTTACTGGCCAGTGCTTTGAGTATGGGATTTGGGAGGTCATGTTGCAACTTTTCAGGAGATTGGTTAGGCTACTTTTGGAATACTGCATTCACTTCTGGTCTCTCTGCTCTAGGAAAGATGCTGTGATATTTGAAAGGGTTCAGAAAAGATTTACAAGGATGTTACAAAAACAGAAGTTGGTGGAAAAGCTCACCAGATCTGGAAGCATCTGTGAAGAAAAAATCAGAGTTAACATTTCGGGTCTGGTGACCCTTCCTGATTTTTACTTCACGGGTGCTGCCAGACCTGCTGAGCTTTTCCAGCAACTTCTGTTTTTGTTCCTGATTTACAGCATGACAGTTCCTTCAGTTTTTACAAGGATGTTGCCAGGTTGGAGGGAGAGGCTGAACAAGCTGGGCCTAATTTCCCTAGAATGTCAGAGGCTGAAGGGTGACATTACTGATGTTTATAAAATCATGAGGGGCATGGATAGTATGAATAGCCAAGGTCTTTTCTCCAAGGTAGCAGAGTCCAAAACTAGATGGCATAAATTTAAGGTGATGGGGCAAAATTTAAAAGGAACCTAAGGGGCAACTTTTTCACGCAGAGGGTGGTACATGTATGGAATGAGCTGCCAGAGGAAGTGGTAGAGACTGGTACAATTTCAACATTGGAAAGGCATCTGGATGGGTATATGAATAGGAATCATTTAAAGGGATATAGGCCAAATTCTGGCAAATGGTACTAGATTAATTTTGGATATCTGGTCGGCATGGGTCTGCTTCAGTGCTGTAAATCTCAATGACTCTGAGTTTACATGAGCAAGTAAATTTTGCTGCAACTGTACACGGCCTTGGTGAGACTGACCCTGGAGTATTGTGTGCAGCTTTGGTCTCCTAACCTACAACAAGGTATACTTACCAGAGGCAGTACAGCAAAGGATCACTAGACTGATTCCTGGGATTGCAAGTTTGACATATGTGCTTGTATTCACTGGAATTTAGAAGAAAGAGAGGAAATCTCATTGAAAATGTGTAAAATTCAGACAGAACTGGATGGACTGGATGCAAAGATGTTATTTCCCCTGATTGAAGGCTCCAAAATAAGGAATCATTGTCTCAAGATATTGGGTGGGCTACTTTGAACCGAGATGAGAAGACTTCTTCACTCAGAAACCAGCAAACCTGTGGAATTCTCCACTACAGAATGTTGTGGAGGCCAAATCACTGAATATATATAAGAAAACAAAACAAAAATCGATTTCTAGAGGCTAAAAGTGTCAAGAAGTGTTGGGAGACAGTGGCAGGAAGGGGTTAAGATAGAGGATCAGCCATGACCATGTTGAATGGCAGAGCAGGGTCAATGGGCTGAATGGCCTACTCATGCTCCTATTTTCTATGTCCATGTTTCTTTGTTAGTCTTTGGAATTCTCTTCCGCAGCAAGAAATGGAGGTTGTGTCATTAAATATATTCAAGATGGGGTTGGACAGATTTCTGATTGAAAAGGGAACCTGGGATAATGGGGGCAAGCAGCGAAGTGCCGTTCAGATCAGCCATGAATTTACTGAGTGACAGAGCAGCTTATTGGGCCAATGGCCTACATGTTGAATGGCCGACCCTTGCTCCTTCATATTACAGTTTGATATTTCAATTCCTCATTAGGAAACTAAAAAAGGAAAAGGTGATAAGAAAAAAGGAAAAGGCGATAAATCTGGGAAAGACTCGAGGACAAGTGCGAAAATGAAAACACCAAACAGCAGTAAGTGCAGTAATTGTCTTAGAAATTATGTGCCAACCTACTATGCTTCACATGACCTGAGGTTTTGTACCCAGTGTTTGATCAGTTACAATGAATCCTCACCATATTCTAAGTATTGCTGGTTACTAAATAACTGCAATAATTATGTTAACATCATGGATAAATGAAAATGTTGATGCTAACATTCAGAGAATTCAAAATGGGCATTAGCCTTCAGCATCTGATGGAATATCTGGCACTAACTTTGACAAAGACATGAACAAAACAATTGACAAGGTAGACACAGAGAAACCAATGAGATAGCTATACAGTTCAAAGAAGAAATTGAAGTATCCCATGAGAGCAACAAAAATCAAAAAGTTGTTAATTCCCAAAAAGAAGTTGAAAAGACCCTAATAATAGTCAAAAAATTATCTGACAGCATAGAATTCTTATTAGTGCACAGGAGGCACTTGAAATCTGTCTTTGGCAAAAGAAGGATCACTTTTTTTCCCATTTACATTTTTTCAAATTACACATTAGGAACTTAACCATACTAATTTGATGAAATACAGATCAAGAAAGACCCTACAGATGAAACCTATTTTATACTTTACAACCTGAACTAGTCAAACCACACAGTTATGTTTTTCAAAGCGATTCTGACATTGTCTTGGTTTGCTGACCTATCTGGATTTGTCCCTATACACATAAAATTATTAATATAAGAAGCACAAAACTATCAAGAATGGAACAAATGATTCAATAATAACGTAGAAGTAAATCAGTTAATATGCAAAATTAATGGAAGAAGATATTTCTCTCACCCAGTGCAGCTGTTCTACCTGTAGTCTGGGGCTTGGGCTTTACTTTAATCCCAGTAGGAGCAAAACTTTGAACACATCATGTTCCTGTGAACAAATTCTAGAAGTGTGCCATAGAGATCTATTATGGGAAGTGTCATTTTCACCGTATCTCCATGAAGTTCCTAGAACACAGCACGAGAACCTGTGTCACTGATAACTAACATACAAAAAATATACACAGCAACAGAATACAGTAAGAAGATACAGGAATAGAAACATCAAATTAAACTGAATTTTTACTCAGAATTTCATATGCTTATGGACTAAATACCTGGGGTAATATCCAAACTAAATATTGATTGGGAAAGACATTTTTTTAAATTCCCTCAAGGAATGTGTGTGTTACTGGCTGAGCCATCATTTAATGTCCATCCTTAATTGTTCTTGGTGGTGGGCTGCATTCTTGAAATACATTGCTGTGGTCCATTTGGGATATGACAATTTGTGGGATACAGCAGTGTTAGGAAAGGAGTTCCAGGATTTTGCCCCAGCGACAGTGAAAAAATGACGATATAGTTCCAAGCCAGGATAGTGCATGGCTTGGAAATGAAATTGCAGGCGGTAGTGATAGCTCAGTGAGTGGGGTTGGGGAATGTGAGGGTGATAAAATATGGCATGAAAATCAGAAAGGGGTGGTTGAAGCCTGAGCTCAGACATTGTATCTACAAATATTGGCCAGTCAGGGCTGGACATGAGCAAGTGACATCTTCTGACATGGAGTTTTGAAAATTACCTTAGTGCAAAACTAGACCAACAAAGGCTATAAATCCCCCATAAATAAAATCTCTTTAATAACCATGTAAATAACTGAGAAGAATGGTGAGAATACATCTGAAACAAATATCACTAATTCACAAATAACAACATCAAGGTTGAAATTTGCAATGCAAAAGAAATGAGCAATGCTTTGTTAGAATCATAGAACCCCTACAATATGAGAGCAGGCCATTCAGCCCATCAAGTTCACACCAATCCTCCAAAGAGCATTCCACTCAGACCCACCCCCCTACCCTATCCCTGTAATCCTGCATTTTCCATGGCTATTCCATCTAGCCTGCACATTCCTGGACACTGTGGGCAATTTAGCATGGCCAATTCACCTAACCTGCATATCTTTGGACTGTGGGAGGAAATCAGAGCACCTGGAAGAAACCCTCGCAGACACAGGGAAAATGTGCAAACTCCACACAGACAATTGCCAAAGCCTGAAATCAAGCCCAGGTCCCTGGTGCTGTGAGCCAGCAGTGCTAACCACTGAGCCACCATGCTGCTCAAATTGTGAGAGATCAGATCATTAGAATGGAAAGTACAAATGATTAGTTCGTTACAATAATGTGTGTTTGCATTCTAAAGTGTTGCTGTTTTCCAGCGAAGCTGATAGTCATTTTGAATTACAACTTCACTTCCCAATATTACCCCCTGAGCTCCACCCTACAGTTTAACAGAGGAATAATGCAGCTTTATTACATTTAAAACTGGTCAGTGTCTGAAACAGAAGCATGCCTTCTAGATATAAAAGAGACAGAGTTGCGAAGAGAAACTGATATAGTCAACAGATAGTGCTCTGTGTAAGTACAGTCATCCCCACAAAATCAAAATGCATAAGAGCTTTAGAAAATACTGGGTGATTGTAAGGGGAGACCTTACAAGATCTGCATTAAGGCACATTGAAATAGTTTGTAATGTGAGAACATTAGACACGGCAGAATGGTAAAGAAGTATAGCTCATCTTCCTGCGCATAAATTAATGGAAGGGAAAACAAGAAACTCCTATACAAATGTATCTTTCAATTCATTCAGACTCTTTTACAACAGTTTTACTTGTACTGATAACAGAGGCAGTTCTCACAAACTGACCAAATCTCCCATGTACTGGAATTGTCACAAGTAGGACAAATTTGTTCCCTTAATAGTGGAACATAATGCAGAGAACTAAAGGGATTTACATGACTGTAGAAAACCAAAGTGCTAATGGTTCTAGGCTGGCGGTATTCGTGAATTGCACAAAAATCGAAATTCTTTGAAAATTCTTGTGCAGCAATATGTGTCTTTTGGTTTATCTTTCAGAGAAAGCAAAAGGAAAAAGAAACATGGATTCAAGGATTTCAGAGGAAACCACGCCAAAGCATCTCTTTGTTGGGTTTAAATTACACCTGCAGAAGTGGTTGACACTAACAGATGCAGAAAACGAAATATACAAGAAGAATACTGTGTTTAATTGGTTCAATGATGCATAATGTGCAACTATTGAAATTCATTTGAAATTCCACATTAAAAATAATTATCATTACTTTCAAGCTGCCTATTTTGTTGCTTAATTTTTTTTTGAGATTTATATTTATTTCGAGATTCAAAGTTTGTGTTTCCTGCCACTTAACCAGAATGTGGAGTTTACATTTGTGTCACGTGATCCATTATCTTTAAAGGCAGTGGTTGGTTAGCTCAATTGGCTGAACAGCCTGAGTTCCCTCTCTCTAACAAGAAAGCAGCCCACAAGTCTGGTGGGACTATAATGACTTTACCTTTAATTAAAGGGATCATAGAAGTTTCTGGAAAGAGCTATTCTAGAATGTTGAACTCTCAGTAAACCTAGGCTGTTATGCCTATCTTCCTGATGCTCTGAAATGGAGGATGCAGTCTGCAGAGGAACATAAATAGGTTAAGTGAGTGGGCAAAAAACTTGGCAAATGGAATATAACGTGAGGTTATGCATTTTGGCAGGAAGAATATAAGAACTGAATGTTACTTAATTTGGGAAGACTGCAGAAAGCAGCAGGAGAGAGGGTTTTAAGATTCCTTGTACATGAATCACAACAAGCCAGGATTCAAGTTCAGTGGGTTAAAGGGAACTCAAATGAAATGGTGGTCTTTATTTCAAAGGGATTTTCTTTTTATTTATTCATTGTGTGGGATGTGGGTGTCACTGACTGGCTAGCATTTATTGCCTGTCCCTAGTTGCCCTTGAGAAGGTGGTGGTGAGCTGCCTTCTTGAACTGCTGCAGTCCTTCTGCTGTGGGTTGGCCCACAATGCCATTAAGGAAGGGAATTCCAGGATTTTGAACCAGTGACAGTAAAGGAACAGTGATATATTTCCAACTCAAATAGTGCGTGATTTGGAAAGGAATGTGAAGGTGATGGTGTTTCCATATATCTGCTGCCTGTGTCATTCTAGATGGAAGTGGTTGTGGGTAAGATAGAATGGGATAGAAAAAAGCAGGAGGTCCTGCTGAAACTATACATGGCACTAGTCAGACCACACTTGAAATACTGTGAACAGTTTTGGGTCCCTTTATCTAAGGAAAGATATACTGGCATTGGAGACAGTCCAAAAAAGGTTCACTGGGCTGATACTAGGTAGGAGGGATTGGCTTATGTGCAGAGGTTGATCAAGTCGGGATTGTACACGTTAGTGAGAAGAAACTGAAACAGACAATATTCTTAGGTGACCTGACAGGGTATGTGCTGAGAGTTTGTTTCCCCTTGTGGGAGAGTCTAGGACCAGAAGCCATCATCTTAGAGTAAGGGATCACCAATTTAAGATGGAGATAGGAAAGCATTTATTTTCTTAGAGGGTAGTAAATCTGTGGAATTCTTAACTACAAAGGACTGTCTTGGTTGAGTCATTAAGGTGTATTCAAGACTGAGATAGCCAGATTTTTACTCAATAAGGGAATCCAGGGTTACGGAAGTTAGGCAGGAAACCCATGACCCAAACCCACAACGCACTAACATCTGGAAGGACAAGGGTGGCAGATACATGGGAACACCATCACCTGTAAGTTCCCCTCCAAGCCACTCACCATCCTGACTTGGAAATACATTACCGTTCCTTCACTGTGGCTGGGTCAAAATCCTAGAACTCCCTCCCGCACAGCTCTGTGGGTCTACCTACAGCACATGACTGTAGTAGTTCAAGAAGGCACCTTCTCAAAAGACAACTAGAGATAGGTCATAAATGTTGGCCTGGCCAGTGACAACCACATCCCCCAAGTGAATTAAAATAAAGTGCAGTTGACAATCAGATCAGCCAGGATCTCATTAGATAGTGGAGAAGACCCTATGGGCCAAATAGCCTACTTCTGCTCCTACCTCTTATGGTCTTGTGCGGTGATACTGTGCCTCCCTCAACTGGAGGAATTGGCATTGAGTATGATAGATTCTAGGCCTTGTGTCCATCCCCCACGTCCTGAGGAGGCCTGTAGCTGTAATGTCTTTGTGTAGAGATTGGCAGCCAATAGATGTTGCAGCTGGTTCTGGGCTTGCCGATGCATTTGGTCCTCCTTAATTTCAATGTACCATCACTGCGCTACAGTGACAATGACCCCGGCTGTATTTAGATCCATTGCTCGTATGTCCAATGAAACTGCGTAGGGACTATATGCAAGAGGACAGGTCTTTAGTAACGGGAGCAGTCGGCATTTGCATCACTTATAAATGACATTTTAGCATTGTCTCCACACAGCCTGACAGGGAGAAATGCTTCCAACATTCCCTTGAAGCTGCATGGCTCTGTGTGTGTGTAGATGCACATGCACGGCAATTGGCATCGACAGGTATGTTGTGGCATTGTCCTCTGGTTCCAGAAGACGCTGCTGCACAGTGGCCTGTGAGTCCCGCACAGCCAATAACAAAATTAGAAGGAATGCTGAATGCTTCTGCATGGAACTTTAGCATAGGAACCTTATTCCAACGAATGTAGCACAAGACATGTTATTGTCAAGACAATAGGTGATTGTAAATGCAGTAGGATTACCAATACCATGCTCCCCCAACTCCTCAGAAAGGCATACAAGAGCATGGTGGTGAATACTTACTGCTCAAGGTGAGTGGAAATCAGCTCGTGTCCTTAAGTAGTCTATCAGATCTTGAATTGTCTTTGTGAAGCGTGGCCTGCAGGTGAGATTTGTAAGGTCACCTGTGATTACCTCCACTTTACTGAGGTGACAGTGATCAAGCTGTAATGACCAATAACATGGGGAAGATTACTTGGGAGCGGGATTTGTATCCCCCGCAGTTGGATACTGAATGGTTTCACCTGCAGGGGAACTATGATTACAGATGAACTGTGAAAGTGCCTCATTCATGCAATTTCTTCTTGAAGGGCCTCACATTGCTCACAAGTAGAGCCTGTGGCTCAGGCAGAAAAATAAATCACTTACGCTGCGTGCTCCGAGTGTGGTCACAACCATTTCCATTTCCATAATGTATTTATGATTCGGGTGGGTGTGGGAGATAGTGCAGGTTGCACTTGGCACAGGCAGTCACAGGTTCCCCCTGGTAATCCAGGAATTTGCACATTGCTTTCTTCCTTGCATTCCCTGTCAAGCCCATCAACACTGAACTTCCACATGTTCCCACACACCACTTTGAGTTACAACTTCACCTCCCAACATTACCCCCTGAGCCCCACCCTACAGTTTAACAGAGGAATAATGCAGCTTTATTACATTTAGAACTGGTTGGTCTCTGAAACAGAAGCATGCCTTCTAAATATAAAAGAGACAGAGTTGCGAAGTGAAACTGATATAGTCAACAGATAGTGCTCTGCGTAAGTACAGCCATCCCCACAAGTACCACAAAATTAAGGTGCACAAGAGCTTTCGAAAATACAGTGTGATTGTAAGGGTAGATTTTACAAGATCTGCATCAAGGCACGCTGAAATAGTTTGTAATGTGAGAACACTAGACACAGCAGAATTATAAAGGAGTACACCTCATCTTCCTGCACATAAATTAATGCAAGGGAAAACAAGTAACTCCTGCACAAATGTATCTTCCAACCCATTCAGTTTTCCAGTGTTACTGTTCTGAGAAAATGTGGACACCCTACTGTCCCTCCCCTTCCCATTCCCTGTCTCTGCTTTTCCATTTCCCTGCTTCCTCCACCTCTTACTAATTCTTTGATCTCCAAAGACTGTTATTTAACTTCAGCTGCCTGCATTGCAGGGGAGTGTGAGGTCCTTCTAATGCGATCTCTGAGTTAAAACAACTGAACAGGCTGCAGGCCAAAGCACAAGTTGTGACTATGACAGAGCACTTTCCACTTGCCTGGGTACTGGGTGAGTACAGCTCCAACAACACTCAAGCTTAACAGCATCCAGGACAAGGTAGCTCACTCACCTGTAGGGCCAGTGCAACCATGAGGGCAACACTGCTGTTTCCACGAGTGCTAAGATGTGGTGGGATGGAACAGCAGCCGTGGTGTCATGGTACTGATGCCATGGCAAAAGACTGAAGTGTCTGAAATCTTGAAATGGTTTTGTCAACCTGCCAGGAGCTAGTCTTTTCTTTGCTGCCACTCGTTCTTGATATCTTGACAAGCGCTTGCAGCCAGCTGTAACCCATTTTAAGCTGCCTTCTTTCCTCATTGATCACCTGCAGAGCTTTTCCCCTTTACCTGCAAACCCTGAGATCGGTTTCCTGCTGCCACTTGTGATTTTCTCGTTGTGCTGTTGGTTTCAATACTGTGTCAGGCCCAGCTGCTCCTAAGTGCCTCACCCTTCAGTCCAATCTGCCTTCCCTCAGTGATCACACTGGGAGCACCTCACACTCCTGTGCTCCACACAACTGGTTGCAGGCTGGAAGGCACTGCTTGGAAGTGAAGTAGAAGTACAGCAGAGTAAGCACACGACTAAAATGGGCTGAATCGCATTCTTATGTAATGTAATGTCCTATTTTTTAGAAACAGCTAGTTCAGTTGCACATGATTGTTCCATTCTCATATATGCTGTGGATAACATTATCATTTTATTAAGTTCAGTCATAGACAGTAATGCTAACTGAGATATTTTTGAGCTGAGTGTATGTAGAATCTATTGCAAAATTGTGGTGATTGTGGTGTCAAGAATATCCAATGATCAGATTTTGAAGATTTGTCTGTGGTTGGGAGACAATCTGATCTGTTAATCATGAAAAAGTTATCAGTCAACAGCATAATTAATCTTGAGTGGTGCATCTTTTCTTTTAGGTTTAGTAAATTTCCTTCTTAGACCGACTGTTGTTGAGTAGAGTTAAACTGATCACTGGTATTTGGCTCTGAGCTGTTTGAGTTTCTTCAACATACCACAGTAATTTAAGAGCTGTGCATGTTTTTCTGCTCAGAAGTGAAAAGTTTTGTTTTCTGATGGCATAGGTCAGTTCCACGTAATATTGATCTCTGCTTTTTTAACAGCACCTTCTGTAACTCTTTGAATTTGAGGGATTTTCTGCCTATGTCAAGCATTTCGCTATTGGAGGGCTGGAGTTTCAATCTCTTCGGCCAAGGCATTTTTTTCACATAATGCTGTTATATTCTCCCCAATATCTTCGTACAGAAGTTGCATTGGCATAGTTGTTTTAATGGATATACATTGTTTTTGCTTGTGTCTTTCTCTTAATTCCACATCTGAAACAGTGTTCTAGTATCAAAGGTTCTGGTTTGCAATTATCAATTTGCTGATCACCCTCAAGATCCCTGGTTCTGACACTGAACTTATCTAGGAGTGTGAAATGAAGAAGGCAGTAGACAGGTGTTTCAGGGCAAAAAAAATCTCTGCGTTCATTAATTACAAAAGCTAAGTATAATACAAGAGATAAAGGCAAATGTAATAAGCAGTGAAATTGACACGATCAACTATATAAAGGACAGTAATTAAATACACTATTAAACCAAATACAGGTTAAACACTATTAGAACTGAACAGTTTTAATCACAGAAAACTTTAATCAGACTTCCTACCTTTGGGGTTCCTGCACTGCCAGTGCCCACCTTCCCCTCCCTGCTAGCAAGGTTGGAAACTTTGGGGTCTCAAAAGTTTAAGCTCACCACTGGGGAAAAACACGATTTTGAAGTACAGCTGACCATTCCCACTTGCCTTAGCCTGTGCCTTGATGAAGACCTCAGACGGTATAGGCCTTCAGTATGGGTTGAGTCCGCTGTCATGGTAGGATGCGTATTGGATTTATCAGGTGAGTACTTGGTTTTCTTCACTTTTTGGTGTTTTTGAGGGCCGGTTTTCACCTCAGGATGTGCCTGAGGCCTTGTGGTGTTGGTCCAGTGGGTGGTTTTTGGAAGCTGTCGGATTTTAGGTCTGTTGCTGTTGGTTCCCTGGTATGAATCAGGCCTATGTAGATAGGTTTTGGAATTACTGTTGTGATCTCCCTTCTGGAGATAGTTGTGGGAATAGCTCTTTACGTGGGGTCGGGGCCTGCAATTATACTAATCATGGGCCTCTTATCTTCGCACCAAATATGCACTTGCCATTGTGTTATTGGTGCTCTCTCTGAAGTCAGTTGGCTTCCCGATAGTTAAGAGTATGTGTAAATGGACTTTGATTGAAGTTGAATTCCTGATATCTCTGTGAATGAATATCGATTGAATTTGAATGTTTGTTATCTGTATAGGCGCCATTCAGTCTGTGTTGGGTAGCCCGAGGTGTAAAAGTTAGTTTAGGTTTGGTTGGTTGTTCTCAGTGGAGGTGTAATTTGGAATTCCAGGCTGAACAATAGTTCTAGGCAGCCATCTCTGTGTCTGTGTACTTTTCCCAGAGTTCAGCCCAGCTGCCACCTTTCTTTTACAAGTTTTTTGCAAAGTCCAGGGTTTTGGTCAAGTATTTTAGATGATGGAGACTTTTGCTCAATCCTACAAATGTTGAAGACATTTTGTGGTAGTCTATCATAAGATGTTTTTGTATTTTTGTACATTAGAAGGTTGGTGAACTCTGTTGAATATCATGAGACAGGTTGGCTTTCTGTTCCCATTATGTGCTTTTTCCAGATTTCAGCTTCTACCATGATCTTGATTTCTCTTTGCAACATGAGATCCTCCCTTGATTATAACACATCTGAAAGAAATAAGTTGGACATTCTAATGACAATTCTGTCTTGAATTAATCCTCATTGTAAATCATCATAATCACAAAATTCTGACAATTTGTAAAGATAGTCATAGAGATCTATAGAATGGAAAAAGGCCCTTTGGCCCATTATGTCTGTGCTGGTCAAAAATAAGCACCCAGCTATTCTAATCCCAGCAATAAAGTTGTCAACTGATTATTTTAGAATCTGTATTCATGGATTAAATCATGCTCTCCCCACTATATGTTTGATACTTAATGAAAAGTAATTGTAATATTTTTTAAAAATTCATTCAAAGGACGAGAGTGTCCCTGGCTAGGCCAGCATTTATTGCCCGGTTAAGACTCAACCACATTGCTGTGGGTCTGGAGTCACATGTGGGCCTGACTAGGTAAGGCGGTAGTTTCCTTCCCTAAAGGACATTAGTGAACCAGGTCGGTTTTTCCCGGCAATTAATTTATGGTCATCATTAATGTGGACATCATTATGGTCTTGACTCTTACATTCCAATGTTTATTGAATTCAAATTCGACCATCTGCTGTGGCAGGATTCAAACCCAAGTCCCCAGGACATTACCTGGATCTCTTGATTAACAGGCCAGTAGTAATACCACAAAGCCATCACCTCCCCATGCTCTTACAGCAAACGTCAAATGCATTTGGCACTTCTCTTACATCCTGCTGTTTTAAAACAAGAACTGCTATTGGATCTGCAGAATAAAGAAATGTGTTCACTTGGTTCTTTGCTGGACTGCTTTGGTAATCCTAAATAAATTCTGTATTGCATGACAAGGTGCAGAGCTGGATGAACACAGCAGGCTAAGCAGCATCATAGGAGCAGAAAGGCTGACGTTTCGGGCCTAGACCCTTCTTCAGAACAGGTTAGGGAGGCGGGGACGAGCTGGACTGGTTTTGGGATGCGGTAGGGGGAGGGGAGATTTTGAAGCTTGTGAAATCACAAGCATCCCAAAACCAGTCCAGCTCATCCCCGCCTCCCTAACCTGTTCTTCCTCCCACCTATCCCCTCCTCCCACCTCAAGCCGCACCCCCATCTCCTACCTACTAACCTCATCCCGCACCCTTGACCTGTCCGTCCTCCCTGGACTGACCTATCCCCTCCCTAACTCCCCACCTACACTCACCTTTACTGGCTCCATCCCCGCCTCTTCGACCTGTTTGTTTCCTCTCCTCTATCCATCTTCTATCCGCCTCCCACTCTCTCCCTATTTATTTCAGAACCCCCTTCCCCTCCCCCATTTCTGATGAAGGGTCTAGGCCCGAAACGTCAGCCTTTCTGCTCCTATGATGCTGCTTGGCCTGCTGTGTTCATCCAGCTCTGCACCTTGTTGTCTCGGATTCTCCAGCATCTGCAGTTCCTACCTTCTCTGTATTGCATGAATTGTCTTTTCCATATAATCCAGTTTAATTTCCGATCTGAGGCATTTGTAGTTTTAAATCTGCTTAGAGGTACAGTACTTTTCTCATTGACGGTGCAGTTCATTGCCATTGGTGCTCTTACAGTCATAGAATTACAGAGTTGTACAGCATGGAAACAAACCCTTCAGTCCAACTTGTCCATACTAACCCGATATCCTATATAAATCTAGTCCTATTTGCAAGCACTTGGCCCATATCCCTCTAAACCCGAACTATTCATATACCCATCGAGATGCCCTCTAAATGCTGTAATTGTAACAGCCTCCACCACTTCTTCTGGCAGCTCATTCCATACATGCACCACCCTCTGCATTAAAATGTTGCCTCTTCGGTCCCTTTTAAATCTTTTGCCTGTCACTTTAAACCCATGCCCTCTAGTTTTAGACTCCCCCACCCCGGGAAAAGACCTTTATTTACCCTATCCATGCCTCTCACGATTTTATAAACCTCTATAAAGTCACCCATCAACCCCCAGTGCTCCCGGGAAAATAGGCCCAATCTTTTCAGTCTCTCCCTATAGCTCAAACCCCCCCAACGCTGGCAACTTCTTGTAAATCTTTTCTGAACCCTTTCAAGTTTCACAACATCCTTCCGAAAGCAGGGAGACCAGAATTGAACACAATATTCCAAAAGTCGCCTAACCGATGTCCTTATATAAATTATTTACTTCAAAGATGTTGAAATTGTTAAATATTTTCTGTAAATGTGACTGAGTTTGCTGTTCAAGGTTTTGAATTACACAATAACTTCAATTTTATTAAAAAAAACAAGCTTTTTTAAAAAAATTTAGTTTTTTTTACAAAGTGCATACTGAAGATATATTGACAGTGAAGATTAAATAAGCTTTGTTGTTTTAGTAAATGTTTAATTCCCTTCTATCTTTTCATTTTCCTTTTATAGATACTTTCTGTAATTTTTGTTAATTAAAGTTTTAAAAAAAACTTTGAAATGTTTCCAAATGATCCTCCTATTTCTGTTGAAAAATAATGGCTTTGAAATGTTTGAAAATAATTGAAATGCTTTAAATGAAGACATGCTGTAATTTTTTCCCCAAGATGAAGTAGGGCTGTAAGTCTACTCTGTTCTCCCTTCTTAGTAACCTCATGCCCTTTTTGACAATATGAACAATTTGTATCCTTTCTACTTCACTCAGATATGCACACCATTTTAAATTTGAAAAAAAAATGACTTTGCGCTGTTATTGAGTCTTTAAGAATATTTTGGTTGCAAAATGAAAATTATCTTAACCCTCAAGACTATTTTCATAAGCTTATCTTCTGCCTTCAATTGTTTCACTCTAATCAGTCAAATTATGTTGCCAATTTAAAGATTTTCTTGATTTTTTGGGAAATTGTACATTCATTTTCTTTTTGCAGCTTTTCTTGAAGATTTCAAACAATTTTAACACTGTTTGTTTATTAAATAAAATACCTTAAGCCTTCTCTTAGCTTCTAATCCTAGAATTTCACCCTACCTCTTAAGGATTTAAATTATTTTGGATGTTTGATATTTTTCCCAGGTTTATTATTTGAATTTTTATTGCTGTCACTCTAGTAAGACTTCTTGTGATCTACACAAATGTTTTCACTATTCTTAGAACCTTTGAACTTTGAACTTTTACAGGCAGACTGAGAAATGCGATCAGTTCTCCAGTCTTTTTTTAACTGCTGACTACCACATTCACAGAAGCTGTCAGACTCTGGGCTTTTGAGGTCCTGAATATTTAAGTACAATAACAGTTTTTTCCTTTATGTTTTCTTCTTTGTTCTCCTTGGATATCTGTTGTTTTAGCAGACCTGAAGATATGATTATCAGTCCAGTCATGCTAGCAAAGTGCATGAGAGATAGCAGTGCTTACCACAGGTCATCATCTTATCAGGTATAGGATAGGACTCTCCCCTAATAAGAGTGTGTGGGTTGCCTTGGGTAGGTTCATTCCCAGCAATCTTTCTTCTTGTTGTTATTCTATGTTACTGATATCAAGTGGAGAAGGACGCCCACATAAAGTCTTCGGCAGAAGAAGGAGCTTACTCTTGATAAAATGGAATAGATTTATACAAGCAGCTCGTTACATTTCATCTGAAGTTTATGATAATCCTTCATGAGACAGCAAGCTGAATTTAAGAGTAAACATATATTACAGCTTAGTTCCATGCTATCTATTCAAACAATGTGGGTCTGGAGTCACATGTAGGCTAGACCAGGTAAGGATGGCAGTTTCCTTCCCTCATGGGAATTAGTAAACCAGGTGGGCTTTTCCCCTTGACAATCAATAACGGGTTCATGATCATCATTAGACTCTTAATTCCGGATTTTGTTTTTATTGAATTCAATTGCCACTATCTGCCATGGCACAATTTGAACCTGGGTCCCCAGAACATTACCTGGGTCTCTGGATTAACAGTCCTAGTGATAATACCATTAGGCCATTGCCTCCCCATTTAATAACATCCTTCTAATAACAGGGTGACCAGAACTGTACATAGTGTTCCAAATGTGGCCTTACTAATGTCGTGTACAGCCCTAACATGATGCCCCAACTTCTGTACTCAATGCTCTGATCGATGAAGTCAACTGTGCCAAATGCCTTCTTCACCACCCTGTCTCCCTGTGATGCCACTTTCTAGGAACTATGCATCATACCCCTAGGCCTCTCTGTTTGACAACACACCCCAGGGCACTACCATTACCTCTAAGTCCTGCCCTGGTTTGCCCTATCAAAATGCAACACCTCATATTTATCTAAATTAAACTCCATCTGCCATTCCTTGACCTACTAGCCCAGATCAAGATCCTGTTGTACTCTGAGATAACCTTCTTCACTGTTCACTAGATCACCAATTTTGATGTCATCTGCAAACGTACTAACCATGCTATATTCGCATCCAAATCGTTTATATAGATGACGAACAACAGTGGATCCAGCACCGATCCTTGCGGCATACCACTGGAGACAGGACTCCAGACTGAATAACAACCCTCTACCACCGCCCTATGGCTCCTACCATCATGTTGATTTTGTACCCAATTGGCTAGCTCTCCCTGGATCCCATGTGATCCAACCTTACTAATCAGTCTACCACATGGAATCTTGTTGAAGGACTTGCTAAAGTCCATGTAGACAATGTCTCCCACTCTTCCTTTACCTATCTTCTTTGTCATCTGTTCAAAAGTCTCAATTAGGTTTGTGAGACATGATTTTCCACACACAAAGTCATGTTGACTATCCCTAATCAGTCCTTGCCTTTCCATATGCAAGTAAATCCTGTCTCTCTGAGTCCCCTTCAACAACTTACTCATCACTGAGGTCAGGTTCATCAGTCTGTAGTTCCCTGGTTTTTCCTTGCAGCCTTTCTTAAATAATGGCACAACATTAGCCAATCTCCAGCCTTCTGTCAACTCACCCACACTATTGATGATACAAATATTTCTGTTGGGGGCCCTGCAATTTCTATCCTAGTTTCCCATGATGACCTGGGATACAATCGATCAGGTCCCAGGGATTTACCTACCTTCATCAAACTCGGAAAGTGTATCTCTCATGTACATT